ATTATTTGCAGTCCAGCTGACAGATTAAGGTATCCCGGAGGCCAGTGATTATGCTGCCAAGTACAGAGATGCCAGTTGCCACAACCCTCTCTGCTTGCCCCCGCTCAATGAAAGTCTTGCCAGCAAAATTTCAGACCAGCCTGGACATCCGCACGGCGCTCTCAGTCCTCCTCCATTGTCCCGACGATCTTCCCGTCGTCGAGCTGTCGCGTTTCACGTCCGGCCGTAGCACCGGGCCGTGCCCTGGGCTAACAAACAAATTTGACCTAGCTTGCCCTGCACTTCCCCAAGTAATCCGTTGAAAAGTGGGAGTCTTCTCGGTTCTACTTGGTATTACCTGGGGGCGGTGTCATATCGAAGTGCCGGCTAACCGGTTCAAGTTGGGTTATTGTCTGGTTCTGGGGCAGCCGTTAGGAAACCGGGCAAAGAGAGAAGGTAGACCCACACACATATGAATAGAGTCGACTAACGTAGCTCGGTAAGTAGGGAGATCCGCGGGGAGGCTAGGGAAACAAACCCTGTCCGTGCATCTGCTCCGGAGTGATTTTTCCCTGCCCTCGGCTATGAGTCTGAGTCGTGAAAGCTGGAGATGAAGAGAATCTCATCTCCGAGTACCTGGGCTGAATTAAAGAGCTTCGAATTTAGTAGATGGAGAAACAGCCATCTTGGCATTTTTCCCATGCTGAAGGCATTCTTCGGCTCTAGTCCGAGCTGTCTAGCCCGGATCGTTGCCGCCACACAACATCTTGTGTAGACGCCGGCTGATTCCTGAATCTAGTGCCATGGCAACACAAGGTTTCCATGGATCGTCGCCTAGGCAATTCTTAACTTCTAGTTCCCGTCGAACTACGACACTAACAAACGCCCCTCAGTCAAATCCGTTCTACTCGGATTCTAGCCCCGATGAACCAGTTTACGAACCAGGCGCATTGCTGTTCAATATGTAAAATCAGATTGCCTCGTCCAGAAAGTCGCTGAGCAAGAAACTTATTTGGAAATTAGGGGCTCAGAACACAAAAAGATCTCGGCATGAATCACTCGGCCTGTTGTCGTTCGTCGCCCACGTGAGCAGAGTTGCGCTTGCTCGGCAAAGGGATTCATGCCGTTAACCCCAACCAGAGCTCAGGTCAAGCAAAAGCTCCAGACACGACCCATCAAGATGGCAAGTTCGTCCAAGGTCCCACATCTCACGGATCAACGGGCCATCCCACTGCCCAAGCTCCCAGCCATCTCAAGTCTCCAAGTTTGTGAGAGACCATACCCATGTGACCGGTTCTCTACAATCAGCGTCGCAGATGGACCACTAGAGCTGTTGGTTTTCGTGGCGGAGTCTCTACCTGCATTGTGGCGCGTGGTCTGCATTTCTTGGGACGTGGAAAAGCCCCAAACAGGAGTCGTGAGCGAAAAGTCGAGCTGATCCAAACAGTTTCCTGCCCGCTGTACCCCGGGTTTGAGGATAGAGGGGGGCGACATGGATGGTTTAAGCCGAGAAATATCTGAGATGTCCGAAGTCTCGGCGGAGGCAGCCCTTGATGACTAGCTCCTTATTCGACATTTTCGCCTTCGGACTGGAGAACTTCCACGCTCGGTGCCACTCTATGCATCAAAGGCATTTCATGAATCACACACAAGAGTAGAGACGAAGAAAAAGATCCCCAGGAAAACTTCCGAGTTAGCCAACCCAGTTCATCTTGCTGCAGGGAGTCCTCAGTCCTAAGTCTTGCAGAGAGAAGAATCGCTAGGAACTAGCGGTCCGTGCCCTTCGTCTCACGGCGCAGTCTAAGACGATCCTCCAGAAAGCGAAGGCAACGAGGACGAGGACTGTGGCTCGGTCTGCACTGAGATTACACGGCGGCGAAACATGTCAAGGCCGTCTGTGCGGGTACAAAGGACCAGCAGAATACGGCAGCCCGTCACATGTCCAAGTCCGTCGGGTAAGTCCAGGTTAGTCAAGGCGAGTGATTCTTTGCTTCGCGCATTCTTGGCGGCTCAGAATTATCTAGTACTGTGATGAGGTCCGGTCAAGCGACATTTGCCGCACGTTACTGTTGCCCCCATCCACGAAATTGCTTTTTGCCGCCTGACACCAGGAGAGAAGCAGAAGGCTTGGCAAACAAATACATCATCAGGCGAAAAACATGAGTTGGATTATATGAGATGATGGGTGCATGCTTGTCACAAAAGGTGAGGGAGTCTCGATGGTCGCAGATTGAGAAATATCAGAATGTATTTCGTTTGAAGTTGGGCACCATAAGGTAATGTGGCTGGCTACACATATCAACCTCACTATCCGTCAATCCGACCGCTTAGGACCGCGAGGGTAAATTTCCTTCAACAACGCCTCCATGCGAGCCTTTCCAGCCAGCTCTGCTTCTTCAGGCGACGGCGACGGTAACGGAATACTGAAAAGAGGGTCCCGGATCTGGCGGTCTGAAGGAGTCGGAGTATTGACGTATCGGTCGATGGAATATGCCGAGTCCGAAGATACGGGAATTGCGGGTCGTCCGACCAGTGGGGCGGGGGCGGGGGCCGGCGCTGGAATTGGGACGGTGGGCGGGGCTGTCGGTGATGCTGCGGGGGCTCTGTGTGGCAGGAATGCCGGAAGGTTAGCAGGGGGAACTATAGGATGGCGGTACAAGCAAGAATGACAGCACCCTACTCCATAGAACAGCCTTCATTAGCACTCACCTGTGGCCGTCATTATAAACAGCGCCAGTGGAAGAAGGGGGCATGATTGCGGTGGGAAAGGATATCCAGGCGAAGGTTAAGGTTTCAAGCAGGCCGGAGACGGACAGCTGTGTAATTCGGATGCACCTAGATGGGCGGGTGGGGCCGGACCTTGTCCGTTGTTGTTCGGGTGCGGTACTTTGGTGGGTCTTCAGTAACTGGTAGTAAAGGCATCAAGCTCATCAGTATCACTGGAACTTGGAAGCAGACAAGTTCAAAGGCTGATGCAAGGAGCTGGCGATGATGGCTGCAGTAAAGGCACGATGGGCACAGATTGAGGGAATCGTTCGCATCGTTCCATCTGGGCAACAGGGACATACAGAGTATTTAAGAGCATCAACCCGAGTCACTGGCGCGGGAGGGAACAAATGCAGCTGGAAAGATTCAAGAGACCATCCAGCAAACCGTTCCGCGGAGGCAGCCTTACGCTAGGAGAGAAAACGCCCCCCCAGCGAACCACACCATCAAGCAGCATCTATGTGAGATCCCGCAACGTGGGTGCCAGAATGGCGGGAAAACGCCATCTGGACAGTGACGTGATGGCGCGTTCCGAGCTTTCCACCCTGGCACCCCTGAGCCTTTGACAACGGTCAATGATATCTCCAAAGTCAATGGTTCGCGGACGATATTCGCCACACAAAAAAAGCAATAGTAGCTCCGGTAAGGTTAGGCATATCGTAGCGTAGGCTTACGCGCGGATGAAAGCTTGCGAGAGTCACTGGCTTCGCATCGCAAACCCTGGAAAACGTGATGGCGATGCGCCCACCGCAGATGCACTCAGGGTCTCGAGCTCCAGAGGGCCTAGACCTTTCGGACACCATGTCAAGAAGCCGCTTTGCTGGGAATGGATAATCTGACAATGCCATGAGCCGTCGTATCGCAGTACCCCGACATACCACTTTGTCATTCTAGCCAATCTTTATTCGTTGAGAACTTGAAGAAACAAAGGGTCCAGTCCGGAATCTGCAGCCAAGATGCGCGCAGCCGCCGCCATAGGTGACGTCAATCAACAGGATTACTCGAGCAACGGGGCGTCGGAGAGGCATCCGATGGGAGTCAGGGGAGGGGGTTCTGCTGCTCAAGAAAGCAGTCTAGCGTTTTCGCATTCCTGCGCTCACTGTGTCCACAGCCACCACCCCGGCGTCAGCGGACACCAGGCGAGAGGTTCCGGACCGCAGCAAGCACTCTTCGCAGTTTGAACTCCCTTCTCCAAAGATCTAGATGACCTAGATGTCAATGACGTGGGCGGCTCGTTGATTCTTCTCGGACTGTGCTGCTGTCGCTTCGAGCCGCGCAGTTATTCGACTTGCTCTGCTCCCATTGCCTGGGTCATTGTGGCTCGAGAATGATCGCTGACGTAGCGCAAAGAGCGAATAGTCGCGATACCGGTGCTTTGGCCATGAAGAAGGGTGCCTAAAGGAACATCCGGAAGACACCGGCATTCACATTTCCCTCGTCAAGAGACCGGAAAGTCGAAAAAATGCCCTCCCAGGCGACTTTTCTGCCATTTCCACCCACCCACCATACCCCTCACGGACGGTTGGACCCTGACTCGTCGCGTTCAGGGGTCCAGAGACCACTGGCCAGTCCAGAAACTGCAGAGATCGGCGCCCACGCCAGTCAAGGGAGCTCGGAGATCGTCAACAACGCATGTCTCAATCCGAGTTGGCTCCCCTCGCGATGGGTATCTGACTTGACGCCCCTCATACGATATCTTCTTCGAAATGGCTTGAACCGGGTGCGCTCCGGCGAGGCAACAGGAAGGCGGACAGAGGATCTCCTATTTTCAAGGTCAGCTCAAGTCCAGGGAAGAACAGCCATGACATCACCGTCGTAGCCTGTTTGGCCATCACGTTGTTTGTTAGCCCCGACAAAATGCCCATAGATGGAGCGAACGCAGAACACCCGTGAGGTTACCATAGAGGGCGCCATATCGCCCCCAGAATAGCATCGCAGTCTCTGGTATCTTGGAATGTCTGTTTTCGCATCAATGAGTTCGTTCACGCCAAAGGATTCTGTCGCGTGCTTTCATTAATATTACTTGGTCTTTCTAGGATCGCCGACACCCTCCGTGCCAGGCATTTCGTCGTCCCCAACAACAACATCGACACGGCTACCCTCCCTACTTTGTAACCGCCAGGATCGCGCTATTTGCTTCTTGCCGTCGCCGGGGCTGTCGAATCGGGAAAGATTCCATGCTTCCTCAGGGACTCCGTCCGTGAATTTACCCGATCCACATCTCGCCTACCCGACAGTAAGTTGTATCCAGTCGATTACAACCCAGATGTTTGACTGAAGCCAAAGTTGCATTCATCTTCTCTGCCAAAGACGTAATTGAATCCCTTGGTGGAGATAGAAAGTGGCAGCGATGATGGTGGCGCCAAAAGGGCTCTCTGATCTTGAGCCGATGGCACATCTTGCTTGCAGCTCTGTGATCGGGGATTCTTTATTGAGGTTTTTTTGACAGCAGGTGCAGCTCTCTTCAGTCTCAGTTGTATATTGGGTTCTCTTTCATTCCATTGGCATGCCAAAACCTTGAATCGGACCTTTTCGGGGTGTGCGTGCTTGCTGTTCTTGCTCTGGGTGGCGTAGAGGATGAACCTCTTTTGTAACCAGGATATGGTGTCGACTACTCTAGACTTGACATCCCAGTGATCCTCGTCGGGTTCGTGAAAGACTCTGCCTTCACATTTGAAACCATATAGTACAGCCTTTGCCGACGGATTGGCGCTCCGGGATTGGATCTCTCTCTTTGTGTTGCTAGTTACTTTCAACGTCTTGACCATGTCAGCCACTCTGTTCGGCGATAAACGGACGTTATCAGTATCTTCCATTGTACCTAACCAGACCTCAAGTCAGCATGACTCTCATTTTCAATCAATGGAACAGTCTTACGCTTCTTAGACGGCTCAAGGATAGAGTCCTGGGGTCTGTTATCTGACGATGGGACGGCGGCTTGGTCCGCGGTACTGGCCCGGGCCGGAATGACTTTTAGAGAGTCAATGCTCGTGTTCTTCTGAACTATTAGATAGTCAATGAAGTAGAATGTCTCTAGATTTGGCAGATACTGGGCGAGAAACTCGTAGAGGTGGACAGGATAGACTTTGGTTGCGAGGCCGGAGTAGCGGGTGCCGCAATGACCGCACCGAAAGCCGCTAACGCTGGTTTCCCACGCGTGACAGTAGGGGATGGCGACATGGCGAATATTGGCAAGTTCATTGCATCTGATGGACTGGGACATGCGACACCAGCTTCGAAAGTCGTCTGCGGACAGGTACTCGAGGCACACGATGTCAGAAGAGCCGCCAAGCGAGACGACGCGTCCGTCCTTTAGCTTTAAGCCACCAGAGGCGCTGGTCAGGCGTCGAACGACCTTGGCTGACTCGAAGCAAGTAGCGGAAAGCTTTTTCAGGACGCGATTGACAGAGATGTAGTTGGAGATGTTGGCTTGGGGTGTCGGGTATCGGGGCTCCAGTATGGCGGGCCAGACCCTCTCAGGTACACTCTCGCGAGCAAAGTCGAGAAGGACATCGTCCTCGTCCTTGGTATCTTGGTCACCGAGTGAACCTGGCGGCATTGGAGAGGGGTAATGGGTAATGCGAGCTGCAGTCCTGAGGCGTAGGAAGTGCATGCCAGGTTCGAAAATAGCATCCTCCCAGATCTGCTCTCGGATTTCAGGTGGCAAACGCGAGAAGCAAGTGAAGGAGCGAGCGGACGCCGGGATATCAAACTTGACTGGTGATGTCATTGTGAAAGTCTTTTGATTCTGCTCTTTTGATTGTTGGTACCCAAAGCGAGCGGATTGAGAGACTGATGGCGAGCTAGCGATGGTGGATGGTTCCGTGAGATGAGGTAGTGAGGATGCTGTTGTGTATGATGGAGATCCTAGTGGAAGAATGTTGTCTTCTGGGGAGAGACGGTTAGATAGCCGACACTTCCTCTTGGCAGGCGGTAGTGGGATCGGCCACTCCATGCTGTGGCGGCGGGTAGTGAATCACGCACCCAGGCGGAGGTTCCGAGATGCTCTTCTCTTGACTTGAGACGAAGGACGGGAGGTATTGGAGAAAGCGACGGCAAGAGAAGTGGAAGAGGTAAGGGTGATGTTGATGCGTAAGGTAGGTAGTCACTCAAAAGAAGGTTGTAGGAGGAACTCCCTCACCAGCCACGTGGAGACAACTGAGGTGAGATGGAGGTGGCAGTCCAGTTAGCAGTGAATCAGAATGGAAGGTGCGAAGCACTTTAGGGTAATTGCCATTCATGTTCAAGGTTGACAACTCCACTTGACCTTTGCGGACAACAGAAGGCTGGAGGAAGGAACGATAGGGTGCTCATATCAGTGAGACCAGGAGTGTAGCGACTCCTTTTCGTTTCTCTGTAAACTCTATGATGCTCTTTAGTACCGTAATACGACCGGCCATGTTCCCTGTTCTAACTTTGAGGTACTGGTGTGAGATATGCTTTCAATCATCACGAAGAACTAATCAACTGGTCTTTCGTTGTTCGTAGATTTCGCAATTCACGTCAAGTTCAATGACCACAGTAAGGTAAACTTGGACAAGAATGCGACTGCTTCAGCACAAATGATGCTAGAGGCGCTAAGAATGAACAAAACCATCTCATTTCATTCATCAAGTATAGCTCAGCTAAGTAGGTAGGTACTCATTGAGACAACCTTAAGACAGGAGGAGGTTGAAGGAGGCGATCACCTAAGGTAGGTAGGACTAGGTACCTTGACTACCTAGGCCAGAGCCGACTCGGACCCGTCAAGTACGTACCCTGTACAGAACCCACATTTCTCGAGTGAGTACGTGCCGCCAGTAAAGGTACCTAAGACCCTGAAAGCTTCCGGGAGCTTACCTTCAGACGACGAAAAGCCTCCGACTGAGCCAAGCTTGCTAGCCTTCCGCTACCTTCCTGTTCATCTCATCCACAGCAATGCCGTGAGACTCGGTCAAAGCATGCATCGCTGCGTCAACCAGTATGGCCTTCGCACCCCACCCGAACCAGAAGCGGTCTGCCTGCGAGTGATGCCGTCGCCAAAAGCTCCGATGCTCCCGCCAAGACGACGAGAACGAGACACGCTGCACGCGGTGCGCAGAGCGGGGCCTTGACTACGTCGTCGGCCACCAGCGCCTGATTGGAAGACCGTCAAGACGGATGGCCTTGGCCCACGCGATGCCGAAGCGTTTACCAGAGGTTTCTGTCCCTTCCACGATCACAGACGATAAACAACAACCGGCTGACTCTGTGACCCACGATAGCCTGCGTGGTAATTCGCCACTAGACTCCTCAAAGAGCACGGCAGCGTTGGATCACGGAACGACCACTGATACAGCCCTCTCTTTGGACTACCATCTGGATGACTTTTCCTGGGATATGTCCCTCGATCCTCAGTTGGACGGCTCTATCTCCGCCCAGATGGCAGAAGAGGAGATGGGGCGCATAACCAGCACACCTCAGATCGCAGATCCGGCAATCCAGAACGAAGCTTTCGTCAAAATCTCAAAGATCAACGTCGAACTTCACTCCTATCTCTCAAGTGTTGAGATTGACAGGCCGCATCTCGACTTTTGCTCCTCCGCCCACCCACCCTCAATCCTCAGCGTCGACGGTCATACTATGCCGGAACTCGTCCCCGTCGCCTTCCAGGACTTCATCGGCGTTCTTTCAGGCCTGAACAAAAGTGATAGCATCCATCGAAGTGTGTCGCCAACGAATAGAACTTTGCTCGCTCGATTAGCGCTGGCATAGGACGAATCATGCTCTGAGTCTGGCTCGTCGAACCCCTTGCTACTTGTGCGGAGCAGAGCATCTTCGCCACTCGTTCCTCAAGCCGCTGTCCCTATCACCAACGACATCAACCAGCCACTAGTTCTCATCATTACAAGCTGCTACGTACAAATCATCACAATCTTTGAGGAGGTATCCGTCCAGATACGCAAGAGACTAGAGGCAATCGCTTGGAACCCAATTCAGCCGACCGAAGGGATCAAGTTTGGCGCCTTTCCAATAGAAGATGCCCATCTTCAAGATGTCATTATCTCCCAGATTGTCGAAAGCCTGCGGGAAAAAGCTGATCGATGTCGAGGCGTTCAGCAATCCATGGTATCCCCGCCAGGAACCGTCATGTCCTTCGAAATTCTCTCTAGTCAGTCCGATCTCCTCCATGGCCAGCTCGAATCCAAGGACCAAGCCTCCGTACCAAGGTCTATTGGGCTCAAGAGTGCTAATCAACACTTACGATCGACTCTGACGGCGGCAACATAATGGCAAGCTGAAGGTGGGAATGTCTGTATCATGGAAGAAAAAGCGAAATCCACCTGATATCCAACCCCGAAGCAGGCAACACGTCAAAGTACTCCACCAGTAAGGAATTCCGAGTCTCTCGCAATACCGGCACTCAAGGCCCGCTGCTTCAACAATCTCGAGCATGTCGTTGATGCAAAGATACCCTCCCTCCACCCTCTCGGCCCACAACGGCGCGCCGATCCCTTTAAACTCGGCACCGCCCTACGAATATGTCCTGCAGAATCATCCAGCTCAACGTTGCAAACAGCCGGTTACTCGGCAGAGACTTCCATCGGCATGCCTCCTCCTGCCTACGTCAACACTCGAGCTCAATCGCCATACTTCATCCGCGCGGCATATTGCTCCCATTTGCGCACTCATTCGACCTCAAATCTGCTCACGTCGGCACCATCTACTCCACCACACCCTCCACGGAACCCACGCAGAAGCGGTATATATACCTGGTGCAGCCACCCTTCGACAGCGTCTTGGCGCTCTTCCCGCACCATGGCCCAAGACCTCCGTTATCAATCCCTGGGCTCGTAGGGACAGGCCCCCGGTAACCAGTCACGAGCTGCTCACCTACTCCGTACACATTCTCGTCCCCTCCCCCCTTTTCAATCTCTCTTCCGCTGGACCCCCACATTTCCATCTATTTGGGACGGCCATCCACACTACCTGCGGCACAGCGGTCTGCTATCCAATTCGTCCTCCATTGAAATCTCTTCTACAGAAGTCAGCAACACGCTTTGAAGACAGAGGTACTCGTCCTCAGTTCAAGTAACCGATCCTGGCGACGGGTGAGCGGGCGTCAGCAGCATACCAACCAGTCTCCGACGAGCGCGGAGTTAAGTCAGTCTAGCACCGCGATCAACGGATGAGCTTCGGATATTACGTTGTCGTCTCAACATCGCTCCATGCAAGGCCCGGGAATTAGTAAAGCGGTAAGTCAAACCAAACAGGACTCTTATCACGATTCGCAGTCACTGCACAGAACGAGGCAGGCACGGAGAAGATTGTTTGAACAGATATACATTGCAAAGCTTGAAAGACGCCCAGCTGCAAAAAAGGTGCGCTAGACGCCCATGGTAGTGGTCGACTGAAAAAAGGTGTTGTGCTTGCAGCGATATATACACCGGGTATAAATCTATTTACATGGTTGTTTGAGAAACGAATCAATGTGCTCATTCAGAAACCTTGTTCCAAGTGGAAGAAGGCCTTGTATTTCTTTTCCTCCTGGTTTTTCATCTGCACACACACACTGCATTCTACCAACGCTTAGTGGCGGAGGCGGAAAGAGCGAGCGTGGCGGCGAGCCTTCTTGGCGCAGGCATCGTCAGCAGCGCCGGAGACGGCGGGGGTGGCAGAGGGAGCGGTGGTGGAGGGAGCAGAGGGGGTGGCGGGGGTGGTGCTGTTGGAGCCGGAGCCAGATCCAGATCCAGAGCCAGAGCCGGAACCGGAACCGGAGCCGTAGAGGGCAGGGCCGGGGATGGTGTAGCTGGAGATGGTGGCGTAGGGGTTGAACTGGATACCGGCGTCGGTGTTCTTGTACAGCTCAGTGCCGAGGGTTCCCTCAGGGTTGGCGGTGCCGGAGCCAGTGATCTTGACGTTGACGCACTGGGGGTAGTTCTGGGCACCGTTCAGGGAGCCAGCACCGTGCATGGCAATGATCTCGTGGCGGAGAACGTAGTTGCCGGCGGCGAGGTCGGAGGGGATGGTGGTGGACCAAGTGTTGTTGTTGGCAATGAGCTTGGTGGCAGCCCACTCCTGGGTGGCGATATCGATGCCAGACTCGTCAATCTTGACCCACTTGAGGGTGGTCTTGTCGACGGAGGCCCAGTCGTCACCGTCGACCTTTGCGGCGTAGGTGAGGACGGGACCAAAGTGAGACTCGGGCCAGGCGGACCACTCGAAGTCAACGGTGCCACCGGCAGCGACGGTGGAGGCGACGGCGCCAGGGGCACCGTTCTTGTGGCAGTTGATGTCGGCGGATGCGTAGCCGGTGCCATCGACGAAGCCGTTGTCGAGGTTCTCGGCGGACCAGGCAGAGATGGAGGGTGGAGTGCCACCGTTCTGCTTGAGGTAGTAGTAGTCGAGCTTGTAGCCGGCCTCGTAGGCGCCGTCGAACTTGAAGCCGGTGACGGTGCCGTGGGCGAGAGCGCTAGCAGCGAAGGCGCCGACGAGGGCGATGGTGGACTTGACGGAAGACATTTTTGAAAAGGTCGGGTTTTGTTGGGATGTTCCTGAAAAAAGGAGGAGGGGTTGGGAAGAGAATGAATGAGCTTGAATTCGTTGGATGTAAGAGTTTTGCAAAAGAATGTCCCAGCTTCACACAGTGAAGAACTGACGGTTGACGGTTGGAAAAAAGAATGAAGTGGTGAAAGAACCAAAGAATGTGTGCGACCTGCAATGTTGGATGAAGAACCAAGAGAGAAAGTCTATCAAAAAAGCGAGGACATCGTCGTGTTATTTATCCCACCGGGAGGCTCTTGTGTAAGATGCCAAGCAAGCAACCCCCTTTCGTCCTTGTCCAGCTCTCAACCGTTCCCAACCTGGTCGAGTCCAGTTCTTTCTTGCCAAGATAGTCCTACAAGCGCCTGATAGCTGAGCCGCCCCCTCAACCCTACTCCGTAGTGAAGTGGGAGCAGGGCCAGGTGGAGATGGTAGAAACTTCATAAGACCGAAACACCAATATGCAAACCAGAGTGGTGGAATTTTGGGGGGGTGGCACCCGTCGAGGCCGGGGGGAGGAGACCAACAGGTCCAACGCAGCGTCACAGCAGCCGGATGTGCTCCGATTTGGAAGGGATACCGGTCCAGGAAAGATGAGATGGACCGTTCCACTGAGCGGCGTAGGCGCTCAGTTTCGTAACGTCAGCCGTTGGGTTGTCTGGGCGCTCTGCCGTCCTCTCCAATGTTCAAAGCCTTGCAAGTTGATAGCCATGATCTGGCCCAGGGGCTCACGCTAGGATCATGGCTGGGGTTGTGCGGCACAAGGAAGGTGACGGTCATGACGGAGTCGCCTGGATATGCATGCTCAATGCTGTGCTGCTTGGGTCAGTAATGAATACATACCCAATACCCAGTCTCAATAGTTTACTCATCATCAGCAAGAAGCCCTGGCGAACACGACTCTTCCGCCCAGAAACGGTGCGTGGGAGAAGCAGGGGATCCCGTAATAGTCATGGGACACCCCCCCCCCCTAAACCCGGCCACGGTACCTGAAAGGCAGTAAGCAAGCACGCAAGCGAGTTGCCAGAATTTGCTAGACTTGCCAAAGTGAGAACTTGAAAAGACTCTATTCGACTTAGTCATGGGGCAGAGTTGCCGCGTTGAGAGGATGGCCGGCGGGAACTGTACAGATACGGCGCAGCACGGGCGCACCGGAATCTCAGACGTAGCGCCGGGCTTGAAACAGACCCTCCTGCCGCCCTTAATATGGGAAGGTAAATCATAGGAGGATCGGATGCGCGTTACCTAAATGCCACCACACTCTCCACCCAGGCCTTGTCATGCTGGTAACTGCTTGTCTCACTCTTTCTTGCAAGTTGACGTGTATCCTATGCTCGACAAAATCGTGATTCGTGCTATGAGCGCGCAGTCCAAGTGGTTCGGAGCCGAAGATGATGACTTCAAGTTCAGGGGCTAGTGGTGACGACTGTTCGGATGCGCCCCATCTTCGCCAGAGAGACCTGCAAGTATGCATATCCCCATAGCCCCATTCTGGAGTGAGTGTCAAAGATAACCGTAAGATATAGTCCGAGTGTCGATGTTCGCCAGTGGTGCAACCTCTCGAGTTAGCCTCTCTCTCTCCTCTCTTGTCCGTATTCTTACTCTCGACTCCTCAAGCGTCGAGTTTCTGTAACTCTCTGTTAGCAAAACTGCCAGCGAGTTGTGCAAGTGCCTCGGTCTCGCACTTCTCCGCATGGTCTGGATAATTAAGGTGTGGTTCCTGGCGCCATATTCCCCTGAGTATTGATCCACATTTCTCACTGGCGCCCACGTTTTTTCTGTCTCTTCCGATTGAATTTTTTCTTTTGCCTTGTTAGGTCCTCCTTCCCGCTGTCCGGTCTGCCCCCTTTCACTATGGAGTATGGATCCCGCCGTGGCGCGTTGCTATGCTTGCTGCGCCGCTGGCCTGTCGCATTGTGAGTGAATCTCGTTTGGGGCATTCCCATGCGTCGATCCGCGTAGTCGAGATGAACTCGCCAAGACAACTGCCGCCAGACCGTTTCTTCTTTACTGCGCCGAGCCTCTAAGCCATTGGCGATTCCGTCTCGTTCCACCGTTCTACGGGTTCGTCCACTGATCAGTCAATCATCAGTCTGATTCTCTCCAACCCGTCGTCTGTGGGCACTTTCGATGAAACGGCGCCCGCATACCTGTCAGCGACTGTCAGCAGCTTTGTCAACTTGTCAACCATCAAGCGACTCGCCGACCCAGTGTTCAAGCCTCTTGAGTCTAGCCTCAATAGACCATTTCAGTCTCTCACTCGATTTTCGCACTCTCAAGACTCTTGGACACGTGCCACAACCGCTGTTCTCGTGCGTGACCGTCGAGTCTTGCCCTTTTCCCCTGACTTATTGGCGTAATTCATGAGCCGCACTTCACAGCGTAGCGCCGAGACGGCGTTGCGGCGCGTGAATCCTGTACAAGGCCGCATTCGACAGGGCTGCTCGCCAAACGGTCGCCGCACCACGAATCGTGATCCCTGCCTCAACCTTGATTGGGTTAGTGTTTGTTTGAGATAGACTTTGATGGTCGTCAAGCCCCTCCCCTGACAGCACTCTCCAGGATCGCTGCATATCAGAACTTCTGCTCGATATGACGACAACGGCGGTGAACACCAATTAATATCTACAGGCTGTGAGTTGCAAGCAGTGCAGGGTACATCTCTGCTCGGTATAGGCAGCCGGTGTCTCACGGCAGATCGATCGCGTTAATGGCCCCCCTTCGTGCCCCTCTCGTCGACTCTTCATCCCGGCCGAGCATGTCAGCAGAGTTGTTTGCGGCGAAACTCTCGATTGAATCATTCTTGACCAAGCTTTTTGTTGCGTTCGATGAAAAAACTCTGTTCATGAGAACTGTTTTACAAAAACGCCTGGATGGCGTCCCAGAACGCTGCGGGACTCTCCCACATGGGAAGATGACCAGCGTTTGGCACAATCTTCAACTCAGCGCCGCTGTCGCCCAACGCACCCTTGAAGCCCTCCATCGCCTTGACCAGCGCACCTTTGGCGTCGCCATCACCCACGACCAGCAAGCCGGGAACTTGGCAGGATCCAAGCGCTGGCTTCAAATCATAGTCCCACAGCGCTTGGCAGCTATATCTGAAGCCTTCTACGTTGTTGGCTGCGACCATTTCCGTCATGGCTTTCACCACGTCCTCCTTCTCCATCGTGGCCGGGTGGAACCACCGACCTACCGTCTGCTCGGCCAGCTTTGCAATTCCGGCTCCGCTGTTCTCCTCTGCAACCGCGATGCGGTCCTTCCAAGCCTGGGTATTGGCGGCACTCGACGTCACGTTGAAATCGCAGGCGATGAACTTCTTCAATCTATTGGGGTACTTGAGCGCAAAGTTGGTTGTTGTTGCGCCTCCCATCGACACTCCGATAAGCGCATGCAGCTTGGGGATGCGAAGAGCATCGAGAACAGTGCGCAGGTCAGAGGCGAGCAAGTCCAGAGTTGCCGGCACAGGCGGGCCCGGGATCGCGTGTCGGCCTCGTGTGTCGTATCGTAGAATGCGCAAATCGGGGCGCTGCTCCTTCAAGATCTTGACAATTGGATCCCACATGTGCAGGGACGTCAGCAGGGAATTGCAGAATGCTACGGTAGGTGCCTTGGGCGAGGTGTTGCCTTCCAGCTTGTAAGGGATCGAGAGTTGGTCCTCGGCCGTGATGTACGAGTCGATAACCTCGTCCTTTCCGGGAACAGTCGTAGTCTTGCCATCCGGGGCCGTAAAAGTGGAGGCTGTGGCCGGCAGCTTGGCCAAATTCTCCAGGTCGCGAGAGGCGGGACCAAAGACGTAGAAGAGAGAGTAGGTACGGCGGTTCATGCCTGCG